TTTTTCCAGATAGTAGACAGAATCAAGAATATTCAAACCAGTCTAGACATAATTACATTAACAGCGTAAAATGATGCAAATGACATCCTTTTGGTTTGAACAGGCGATGTCTCTCTTTTGATAGATTGAGGTCTTGATGTATCATTGGCACAATGTTTCATCAATCCAGCACAATCTTAGTTCCATTAAGGAATGACTTTTTTCATTGCTTAGATGTTTAAACTTTATAGAGGTTAGAGATAGTTCAGCACTTCTTCCATTGAAGGAACATCTCCTGGGTCCAGACTTTTATATATAATAACATATCATAGTCTTAAGCATTTTGCAAATGTTATTTATTTATTTATTTTTACACACCTTTATTTTTTAAAAAAAAAAAACTCGGGGTGGTGAACATAACTCTTTGCTCTCTAAGGTCCCTAAATCCCTAAGCACACCCTTCAGAGAAAGTGACTGGCACGAAGTCACCCAGCTGACTTTAATGCCTCAGGTGAGAGGCCTGTAGTAGTGGACTAAAGCACTGTTATTAACAGATTAACATCTGCTGCTTGCAATTACTGCAAGTTCAAATCTCACCAGGCTCAATGTTGACTCAGCCTTCCATCCTTTCAAAAGGTAGGTGAAATGAGGACCCAGATTGTGGGGGCAATAAGCTGACTTTGTATAAATATACAAAAATATGAAGGCTATTGCTTAACGCATTGTAAGCCACCCTGAGTCTCTGGAGAAGGGCGGCATATAAATTAAAAGCAAAAAAAAAAAACCAAAACTTATAGACTTCTAATTTCTAGTGTGGTGTCTTAACCACCAGACTAAACTGGCTTTATGCATAACTGTGAATTTTATAGGCCATAGACCACACTTTAGAAGTTACAGACCCAGAAATTATCTTGTGGCTTCCTAGAAGATGTAGGAAATTATCCGGGTTCAGGATTTAGTTCATAACACCTATGGAGAAGACCAGGTTGGTAAAGATTGTTATTACTTACTTACTTATTTGTATCCCACCTTTCTTATTTTTACAAATAACTCAAGGCAGCAAATGCATACAATACTTTCCCCCCTCTTATTTTCTCCACAACTGTGTGACAGTTGTGGTTGTGGTTGTAGATTGGGCTGAGAGAGAGCGAATGACCCAAGGTCATCCAGCTGGCTTTTAATGGCTAAGGCAGAACTTGAACTTACAATCTTCTGCTTTCTAGCCCAGTGCTTTAACCACTAGACCCAACTGGCTCTGTATGTTATAAAATTGTACATATAAAATGAGCTATGTGGTCTATCTTCTTTCTTCCACTGCTGGAAATAAATGACTTTTTAAAAAATCTAGTATTAATTTTTATTGTGTTATGTTGCAGGCTATTGTATTTCTGGAAATAGTTTTGTTACGTATAGCCTAGCCTGGCTCTGGCCAAATTGAATGCAGTGTTGTGACCCAGGCCCAGGTAGTTAGTATTAAATACAAACAGTTCGAAAACAAACAGACTTTATTAGAACAGCTGAGAATTAACTCATTCTCAGCGTAGTCCAAACTAAATTAAAGCAAATTCTTCAAAACACCATTTCTCAGTTTATCACCGACCTTGGGATAATTAGGCAAACTGCTAAAGGCTTTTTTTGGCAAAAGTTCAGAAGCAGAGGACGTCGACAAGAAATGAATACAGTGAAACAAGAAGCAATTCTCTCAATGTTGTTTTCCGGCAAAGAGGCCAAAAGCCGTTGCTGGTCTTTTAAGCCTTATGGGAGGGGCCAATCATCTCTTGGCCCTACTCCCGAGTCATCCTCTCTGCTTTATCTGCTCCTGCCTTCTGGCAGCTCTTCTCATATGTGCACTAGGAACAGGCTCTTCCTGTTCTTCTGCCTCTCTACTGTCAGCCTCTGGGGGCTCCGAAGTCCGCACATCACTCCCCGATGGCCCTAGCCCCATCTCTGCCTCCGACGCAGAGCACTCATCTGTCAGCCTTCCCCAGCCTCCAGGACTGGCCCATGTTCTTCCTCAGCCTCATCACTGTCCAACTCCACTGCCAGCTCCGCAGGCTGCTGGCGGACCACAACATGCAGCTTTAGTGTAGCTTGGACTGTCAGTTAGGTCTCGTTGGATTACAGGAGGCAATTTTTTATGAGATCTCATATATAACATTTCATGCATTTTGTACATTGAGAAATTAATCTAAATGTTATATTGAATTATTTCTCACTGGCTACCTTCTTAACTGGTCCATTACTTCAGCCAAGAGGTATGGGCAGCAGCATGTATGCCTTGAGTTACAGACTGTCTTACCAAGTAAGTGCTTTAGAACAGGGGTCTCCAACCTTGGCATCTTTAAGACTTGTGGACTTCAACTCCCAGAGTTCCTCAGGCAGCAAAGCTGGTTGAGGAACTCTGGGAGTTGAAGTCCACAAGTCTTAAAGTTGCCAAGGTTGGAGACCCCTGCTGTAGAAGATATCAATTCATTGCCTTCATCACAAGTAGGCAAGGAACTTACCTGACTTGACCAGGAAACATATGTCCATTTTTCATTCTTCACAACAGATCCAAAGATGTAAAAATTGTTGTAAATATAAAAATAGAGTAACGTGTCATAAAACAAACTGTGTGGACACGACCTTGTAGATGACCGCCACTCTGTCAAGGACCTTGAAATACTCATATCAAATGATCTAAGTGCCAAAGCCCACTGTAACAACATCACCAAAAAGGCATTAAGAGTTGTAAACCTAACTTGCATAGCTTCTTCTCCGGTAATATCACACTGCTAACTAGAGCATACAAAACATTTGCTAGACCAATTCTCAAATACAGCTCATTTGTCTGGAACCTGCACTGCATATCAGACATTAATACAATCGAATGTGTCACAAGAAGAGTCCTCCACTCCTCTGCTCGCAACAAAGTACCTTATGCCACCAGATTTGAAATTCTGGGCCTAGAAAACTTAGAACTACGCGTCTTCCGTATGACCTAAGTATAGCTCATAAAATTATCTGCTGCAATGTCCTACCTGTCAATTACTACTTCAGCTTCAACCACAACGATACATGAGCACACAATAGATACAGACTTAAAGTGAACCGCTCCAAACATGATTGCAGAAAATATGACTTCAGCAACAGAGTAGTCAATGCCTGGAATACACTACCTGACTCTGGTTTCATCCAAAACCCCAAAAATGTTAACCTAAGACTGTCTACTGTTGACCTCACCCAATTCCTAAGAGGTCTGTAAGGGGCGTGCGTAAGAGCACCAGCCGTCCCTAGTCCTAATGTTTCTTCTACTTGTATCTATTTTATGTATTCAATTCATGCTTATTAAATTACCTAATACGTTATTGACAAATAAATAAATAAATATAAATAATACTGTTTCACAGGCCAACAAATTATAATGCAAACTAACTAAACAAATGTCTTCTATTGCTAGGAAGAATACAGCAAAATATGTAGTAATATTTATATTATAATACTAGAATATATAATAAAAATATATAGTAAAAGTTGCCTTGGACGCCTGCAGTGTTTTATTTCCCTTTCCATCTGCCATAGCAGCATGCCTTCTCACAGAATTTAGACTAATAGCATAAGCAGCACAGTTGTCATGAGCCTGAATACCTCTTCTGGAGTTTTTCTGAAAATTAAACGTTGTCACCCATGGTCTTGCAAGCTGCAGCACAGCATTGCAAGTATTAGCCCTCAGAACTGGGCTTTTAAAGGTCAGAAAGCAGAGTGATATGACATGCTTAATTAGTTCAAAAACCAATCAGCATTGCTAAAACACCAGCAGTACATTGAAAATAGTGCAGTTAGATCCTCTTCAGTATTTATCTCATAGAGAGGAAAAGAAACCTTACAGATGTCATTCATTCTGACAACTTTATTTAAGTTCTTCCTAAATGGCATGGTCACCAAGATCAAAGATCTTTTTTTAAATTGGCAGGAGTCCTTTGACTAGCAGGAGTGATTCGGTGCCGTGGATGTCTCTCAGTTGGCCTATTGTCATAATCAATTGAGAAATGGCAGATTCTGTGTTTCCCTTTCATAAATTTTGTCTTTAAAAGTTTTAAATAATTTGATTCCATAATTGATCAACTGTGTGGAAAAGATACATGACATTATTCCTATTTTTTGTACAGTTTTCCTTTGTGATATTTGCAAGTCCTTTTTCCCACTGAGGAAATGTAGTTTTGTGAATGCTTTTCTTGGTTGTGGGTGCTGATGTGCACATTTTCAGTTGAAAAGTCTGAGTGAAAAATTTTCTTGTGTCCACCTCTCCTGAAGTACCTTGGCATCTTTTGTGACATTCAAAGAATGTCTTACCTTTCAGAAAGGCCCACATTTTCTGTAGCCCTTTTTTTTCCCTGAAACTCTTTTGTGTTGATAAAATAGAAAAGTTTCAATGTTGGGAGTTGCTTCAGTATATTTTAGACTTTGTGGAGACCTGATTTCTCAATCTGACAAGTGAAAGAAATCAAGAATAACCTGAAGAAAATGCCTAGAAGTACTTCTAAGATTGGCTGTGATTTTTTTAAAAAATCACAGGTTGCAGTTTTTAAATTCTTGTATGTCATGTTTGCTGAAATCCTAAAACTACATCTTATGTATACGTATATACCAGTGGTGGGTTTCAAATTTTTTTACTACCAGTTCTGTGAGTGTGGCTTGGTGGGTGTGGCAGGGGAAGGATACTATAAAATCTCCATTCCCATCCCACTCCAGGGGAAGGATACTGTAAAATCTCCATTCCGTCCCCAATCCAAAGGAAGGTTACTGCAAAATCCCCTTTTCCTCCCGATCAGCTGGGACTTGGGAGGCAGAAAATAGATGGGGGTGGGGCCAGTCAGAATTTTTACTACTGGTTCTCCGAACTACTCAAAATTTCCGCTACCAGTTCTCCAGAACTAGTCAGAACCTACTGAAACCCACCTCTGGTATATATACGGCCCAAAAGGTAATATGGCACATAAAAGTCAACCTTGGTTTCTTTCTCCCCTCTTTCTCCTCTGTAGTCAGCAGCAGAATATGTGAAGTCCCGCTTACCAGAAGTCCTAAAGCAACACCTTCAGGATTATGAGAAAGATAAGGAGAACAGTGTATTATCCTATCAAACCATCCTGGAGCAACAAATTCTCTCAATTGACCGAGAAATGCTGGAAAAATTGACTGTATCCTATGATGAGGCAGGTATGTTGATTGACAACTTAAGTCTGGCTACAGTTTTGTGGCTCAGTTCCACTAGCAGGTATTTTTACCTAGGTATTCTTTGAAACCAGCTATTTAATGATGCATTATAACACTCCTTTCTGTATTACTCTCATATAACAGAAGCATTATTACATTAATGTGTCTATATTTTATTTTACTTTGACGTTCTCCATGCCAAGCATTGGTTGGTATATTCAACCAAGCAGATAGAATGCTGAACTAAATAGTATACTTCCTTTTTAAAAAGGGTGTTGACTCTTCACATCATTAGCATAATCATTATTTTTTTCCATATTGCAGAAAAATAGCGATTTCAGTAGAAGTCTCCAATCTTTTTTGCTTGTTTCATTTACCAAATCTCGTTCATTTCCTATAATGTCAATTCCTCCAGTCAACACTGAAAAGGATATGCTAATTTGGTGCAATATGTGCTGCATATTCAGAATTCACATTAAGTTATTCTGAAGAGATCTTGCCTTGTTAGTCACCACTATATTCTCTGTGGATGATAGTGAGATTATTTGCCCACTTTAATTTTTGGATTTTTTTAAATTAAAAAAAAAATTAGAATATTGCATGCCCCAAACTAAAGTACCATCCACAAAATAATATATTTTCCTAGTAATGCCATACTGAAATATTTTGTGCCCCACCCAGAAAAAAAGAGAAGTGTAATGTGAGATGGCAGGTAATATTCTGAGAAGTTTGAGGGGATGGCAGGAAGCAGCCACCTTGTTTCGCTTCTCAATATTTGTCTTTGAGATGATTTTTCACACAATGTGTGACAGACATTTTGTGTGAATATTCATGTTTCAGAATTTCAAATATACTGACATACTTACATGCTCCTCATCCTATTTGTTTCCAGTCCCGAAAAAGAGTACAAATTGTATAGGGAACACAAAGGGGATAAAATAGGAAATCTTGTTTACACATTATTCACATTTCTTTATACCTTTTTAAACTTGCAAACCATCTTTGTTTCTTCCATCTGGGGAACCTGGATTCTCTTCTATATAATCTACGGTATCTTCTATAGAAATCTTTCCATGACAGGAGTTCATTCTGGACATGATGAGGGAGATAAAAATGCTAAGGAAAGGTGTACATTCTTATTTTCCCTCTCGTAATTTTTAGTACCACTCAAGTATGCCATGTCTTACAATACCATCCTTGAATCTGAAATTCTTATGTCAGCTCAGTAGTGATACAGGAATTTCTCATTTAACACCGCTAATTGGGACTGGAAACTCCATTGTTAAGTGATACCATTGTAAGATGAAAAACCATGTGACTGTACCACTTAGGAACAGCAGGGCCAATTGCTATCATTAAGTGGGCAACACGTAGGTTATTAAGTGAGGGGCCTCACGTGACTGTGACTTGCGACTTACTGCCAACTTTCCATTGACTTTACTTATCAGAAGTTGTAAGTGAAGGTAACAAATGGTGATCACATGACCATGGAATGCCGCCAGAGTCATAAATATTTAGGATTATTTATAGCTACAACTCATTCAGCACCATTGCAACTTCAAATTTTCACTAAAGAAGTGGTCATTCAACTAGGGCCACAAGTTTTTCAAGTTTTGATACAAAAAAACATCTAGGTTATTCTTTTGGATAATAATAAGAAATCTTTTTTAAAAAAAATTGCATGCTATGTGTCTCCCTTTACCTATTCCACTGTTTTGAATGTTGGAATGAAAAAGGAAAATTATAGATTATATAATTTTATATAAAGAATATATTCTTTATATTATAAAGAATGACATTTAAAAATGGGAAGGAATGTTTTTGCCTTCACTCAAAAATGTTTATGCAATAGAAAACTTGTCAAAGATTTTTTTCCACAAAAAGGTAGATTTTAATGCTGAAGTAAAGCAATTAAATATGAGTGAAGACCAACTGTACGATAAACACAAAATATATATTTGTGCTGTATACTTAAAAAACACACCATTAGAATGGTGGGTATATACTTTGAATGGAAGTCCTGTATTTATATCTATAATGAGGCTGAGTGACAGACTTGGCATTCTAATCAAATCTCTTGTTTAGCTTTAATGGTGCTACCTGTTCTGAAGCACGCCTTGATTGCGACTGCTGTGCAAAGAAGTGTGTGTTTTAAAATAATAATGATAATAATAATAATTGCAGCAGATGTTCGTGATTTGAACTCCCCCTATCATTCAGCTTCACGGCAATTCCAAAGGTAACATTTCCTCCTGTCACTATAGATTTCAGTGCTTTATCAACACCCTTCATTTTAATGAGAAGGTCAAACCGGTTTCAGATCTTACCTGGTTTGTGAATAGATAGACGACTGAGGATGGGCAGGAGATGCCGTTGTTTTAAAATAAAGCAAATTATAGCTCTTTCAGGTGACAGCATAACTCTTTCCATTTGCATCAGCAGGATGGTAAAAGTACATATCTTTTGATGCCTCTGAAATACTTAACATTTATAATCACAAGCAGCTGGAGTTTTATTAAGTCCCAGTCAAAAATCTTGTCTATGAGGGATCTGTTATGCTGTGTAGAGCACCACGTACATGGCCTGCAATGGTTGCCCACTTCTGATAGCATTAAAGTCTTGCAAACTGGTCCTTTTTTTGCTTCAAAAACTGTAGAAACTTAGTGGTGCAACATAGTTACCATGAGGATATATGGATCAGAGGTGGGTTTTAGCAGGTTCTGACCAGTTCTGGAGAACCGGTAGTGGAAATTTTGAGTAGTTTGGAGAACCGGTAAATACCATCTCTGACTGGCCCCGCCCCCATCTATTCTCTGCCTCCTGAGTCCCAGCTGATCGGGAGGAAATGGGGATTTTACAGTATCCTTCCCCTGGAGTTGGGTGGGAGTGGATATTTTACAGTATCCTTCCCCTGCCATGCCCACCAAGCCATGCCCACAGAACCGGTAGTAAAAATATTTGAAACCCATCACTGATATGAATGCAAAATTGCTCTTTGCTCTTGTAGGAAATAGCTATATTTGACCAAAACTCCAAGCTGATAAATAGTTAGATTTGATTTCAGATGCAGATTTCAGATTTGATTCTCATGTTATAGAACAAAATGCCAAGGTTAACAGATGATTCCCACAGGCCAGGTTTTGTTTTGCCAGAGGAAAGTAGAAAAACAAGGCAATCCGAACTATTTTGCTACATATTACTTGTTGTGCCATATATATAATCCAACTGGACTGGCACATGAATCTAACAGTGTATGTCGTAGGATAGCCTTTTCTAGTGTCCTTGATGCATCTGACAAATTTAGGAGGCCAAGCAGTAAATGCAATCTTGGCTTTTTATAGAGGGAAATAACTAGGAGCCATTGCTTTTTGTCCAATGCATATGCTCCCTAAAATAGTTGCTTCACTGTTAAATATTAGAGTAGACTACTCTGAGAGAGTTTCTAATCTAGGTTTTTTTTTAGATTGTGTTCTATGGAATCGTAGAATTGTGGAAGAAATTGGTGGTGTTCCATGAGAAATTGTGAAATGTTCCTTTCCTTTTTGTTCTCCCCAACTTGGTTGCATTTGGGTACAATTTTCCCCAACAAACCCGAACTTCCTCTGCTTTGCTCTCTGAACTTTTTGGGTAAGTGTTGTAGAAGTCAGTAGGATTAGAAAATTTACTCAGAGTGGCACCTTAGTCTTCTAGTTTTCTCATAATGGCGTCATTTCACACATTGTGTAAAGTTCATACTTTAATAAGGACCAAACCAGGGGTGAAATCCAGCAGGTTCTAACAGGTTCTGGAGAACCGGTAATTTTGAGTAGTTTGGAGAATCGGCAAATACCACCTCTGGCTGGCCTCAGAGTAGGGTGGGAATGGAGATTTTGCAATATCCTTCCCCTGCCATGCCCACCAAGCAATGCCCACAAAACGGATAGGGAAAAACTTTGAATTTCACCCCTGAACTAAACCATAGATTACATTTTAATCACAAGTTGCCTTTAAATACCCTGTTTCCCCCCAAATAAGACATCCCCTGATAATAAGCCCAATCGGGCTTTTGAGCGCATGGCAATAAGGCCAAGCGCTTATTTCAGGGTTCAAAAAAATATAAGACAGGGTCTTATTTTCGGGGAAACATGGTCCCAATTATAATTGCAACTACCAGCATCAGTGGTGGGTTGCCCTCGGTTCATACCGGTTCTATAGAACCGGTAGTAAAACCAGCAGGAGGCTCCGCCCACTGACTCTAACATCATGAAAATGCTTTGCGCATGCACAGAAGAGTGTGTGCACGCATGAGCGAAGCGAGCGCATGCGCACGGCCCCATTGCGAACTGGTAGTAAAGATAAGTAGAACCCACCCCTGACCAGCATGTATCTTAAAGTAAAGTATTTTGGAGCCAAAGGGATTTCCTGATCTGATATGGCATGTGAATCTGCTGTTCATAGAAAAACAAATCTGAGTTCTCACCACAAGGTTCTTCAAAGTGTGTCTTTCTGTCACGGGTCCACCACAGCCTCCCTGAGTTCAAGGAGTTGGCTCGCTGTCTCAGGCCCCACATCTCCACATGTGCCAGAAATCACCTAGGTCCTTAGAATCAATCATTGACTGAAAATTATTTCATTGAAATGTGAATGTGATAATACAAATGGTAACAATAAAGTTCAAAAAAGACAATAATAAAGAGATCTTAAGAACCGTGCTACCTTTTTCAGTATGTCCTGACTTTTAAGACTTCACATTCATTTGCTGTTTTCTCCATTGCATGTCCTTGCTCTGCTTTTTGACTGAAAAGAGAAAGTTACACAACCAAATATTAACCTAGCTTTCACAGTCAGAAAACTCTTATGTTTATTTTGCCAAGCTGTTTCCGCTAAGCCACTTAAGAGTCTGCTCACCTACTAGTGTCCTTTTTCCTTGGTTGAATAAGAACACAGAGTAGGAACTTCATTCTGTACAGTTTTACTAAATACATGATTTTAAAAGGACAAGATTACTTGAGCGTAATTAATTG